GGTGAGCCATGTGGGTGCTGGGAATTGAACCTGGATCCTCTGGAAGAGCAGCCAGTGCTCTTAATGCCGAACCATCTTTCCATCCCAAGATGTATTTTAATTATGTGTAGATTCACTTGAGTGCTGGTAATTTCTGGAGCTGGAATTATAGGTGTAAGAACTGGATTTGGATACTAGAAACTCTACAGGGTGCTACCATTGAGCCGTCTCTCCAACACCAACCCCCTCAATACACTGCATTATACCACAGAATATAAATTCTAGATAAGGGATTTGCCCACGGAACCTAACAGTGTATCTATCACTAGTATCTAACACTAGTATGCCAGTTTTGGTGGCACATCTGTAATCTCACAGCGCTTGAGACGCTGAGGCAGGAGGATTGCAGAGGTTTCAAGGGCAGAATAGGGTAGAGATACCCTATCTCAAAAATTAAAACAAATACGAAATGAATAAAGTGTAATTAATAGTAAAAAATATACTAAAAATAAAAAAATTAAAACAAAACAAAACAAAACAAAAACCCCACTCATTATCAAAGTGGCAGCGAAAGAATGATGTGAAGAGCTTTAGGTTCCAACTACTGTGGGAGCAGCCAGATGCCCTCCAGGAATGAAAAAAGGAAGAGGCACTGCCAAGAGATGACATCAGGCTGCAAGGCCTCTTGAATAATTAATTCACAACAGTGTAGCCTCAGGAAGGGTTGGGGCGCAACCGGGGCAACAAAAAGTAGGAGGTAAACATTGTCCCACAGGGGCAGTTTCTGGAGACCCGATCTTCCCTATGCCGAGACTCCCTAAGGAATAAACTCAGGAATCTTGCTCCGATTCCGTAGGGTGTGCTCACTGTGAAAACCCAATCCCCCTGTTTGTGGGGCAGTGTGTGGCCCTACAGAGTCATTCGCCGCCCTCGCCTTACCGCGTTAAGCCTTGCCTCTGTAGCCTACATTGTAGACCAAGAACAAGCTTGGCGTGGGCTTCGCACGTCAGAAAGTTAAACAACTCTGTCCCAGAAGAACCAATGAAAAGTAAAGGAGGACCGGGATCCCGCTTTCCGAGGGGCCTCAACCTCCTCACTAAACCAAAGTCAGCGCCTCTAGTTTCACGCCTGCGCATTTTGGTACTGCAACTCTTCCCGCCCACCTCATGCCCTTCTCCGCCCCTCACCCTCCTTGGGTCTCACGACCTGACCCCTCCTCCAGCTGGTTCCAGCTTCAAGCTCCCACCCGCCTCGGGTCTCCTGACTGTCCTCACCTCACCTCACCTTGTCCCCGCCCCCTCGCCTCAGGCCCCGCCCCTGGCTCCATCCCTGCCCCACCCCTCAAACCGCGTCCTCACTTCCCTATAGTGTCCTTCCGTTCTCTGGGATTTCCTTTAGGCCCCGATTGGGGCTGCTCTTCCCTGATTAGACCTCAGGCAGATTTGATTACTGTGTTTGGTGTCCTAACTTTTCCCATCCCAGCGTTTGCTCTCAACAATCCCATTATCATTATTAGTTGCTGTACTAGTTAGTTTTTGTCACCTTAACACAAACCTAGTCTTCTGGGAAGAGGGACTCCAATTTGAGAAATCGTCTCCTGATTAGCCTGTGGAGCATTTTTTTGATGGCTGATTGACGTAATAGGGTCCAGCGCACTGCGTGGTGCTATTCTAACCTCGGACAGGTAGGTGGTCCTGGGGATAAGAAGGCACGCAAGCAGAGCAAGCCTTGGGGAACGTGCCTATCGTGATGAATTGTGTCTGAGAGTGGTAAAACGAAATGAACCCTTTCCTGCCCAAGTTGTTTGCAGTTCTGGTGTGTATCGCAGAAGCAGATTTGAGCAGTTGCAAAGATGCTTGTGTTTGTCTAATGAGCTTAGTTGAGTACACTATCGTGGAGTAGCCAGGCTTAGGTCTGGTCCCTAAAACTCAGACAGTGGAAAGGAGAGGACCTAGTCCCTCCCTGACAGCCACACCAGAGCACCTGGGCAAGTGCACACACATACAATAAATAAATAAATACAACAAAATAGGTTTGTTTGTTTGTTTTTTAAGGGGTTAAGGTGGGTCAGACAGCTCAACCATTGCTGAAACTCATGTAAAGATGGAAAAAAAAAAACAAACCGAACTCTACAAAGTTGTCTTCTGACCTGCACACTCATGCCATCATTTTCCTCCCCCACCATACACACAATAGACAATTTATAAAGAGATGATCTGGGAATGATTGTACACACCTTTAATCCCAGAATTTGGGAGGCAGCGGCAGTCAGATCTCAATGAGTTTGAGGCTAGCCTGGTCTACATAGCTGTTCTACTCCAGGCTACATAGTAAGATTTTGGTTTTTTTTGTTTGTTTGGTTGGTTGGTTGTTTTTTTTTCTATGTCAGCCTGGCTATCCTGGAACTCACTCTGTATCCCAGGGATTAAAGGTGTGCACCACCACTGCCCAGCTGCAAAACCCTGTGTTTATACAACACCAGAAAAAAAGTGGGGCTGAAGAGAGATGGCTTAGCAGTTAAGAGCACTTCGATCAGTTCCCAGCACCCACATGGCAGCTCACAATTGCCTGTAGCTCCAGCTGCAGATCTGACACCCTCACACTGACATACATAAAGTGAAACACCAATGCATAAAGTAAAAATTATATATATTTTTAAAGTAAAAAAAAACTAAAAAATTAAGTTCTTTTTCTTTTTTTAATTTGATTTCTTTTTTAAAGATTTATTTATGTATCATGTATGCAGTGGTCTGCCTGCATTGTAACCTGCAGGCCAGAAGAGGGCACCAGATCTCATTATAGATGGTTGTGAGCCACCATGTGGTTGCTGGGTGTTGAATTTAGGCTCTTTGGAAGAGCAGTCAGTGCCCTTAACCTCTGAGCCATCTCTCCATTCCCCAATTAAGTTCTTTTTCAAAACAGGGTTTCTTTGTGTAGCCCTGGTTGTCCTGGAACAACCAGATTGTCCTCACTCTGTAGACCAGGATGGCCTTGGACTCAGAGACCCCCTACCTCTGCTTCCAAAGTACTGGGATTAAAGGTATGCGCCACCACTGCCAACTCAAAAATCAAGTTCTTATTGTAACAAAATTAGGCTTCTGTGTAAGATTAGCTATAACTCACAGATTATCCCCAACTGATTGCAGCTGCTTTAAAGTAGACATAAAAGCTATGTAGGACTATGAGTTTGTGTCACAGGATGGTTTGTTTTTGTTTATGTGTGTGCCCAGAGGGAGTGACATCTGGCATCCTGGGTGTGATGTCACATTTCTGCAACCTTGGAGATGGAGACATAAGTATTGCTACAAATTCCGGGCTAGCCTGGGCTACAATGAGGCCCTAATTCAAGAAAGAAGAAAAACAAAACAGCCAAATATGAAACAAACAATACCCCCATAACCACAAACTAGTAAGTACATCCTTAGTCTTAGAAACTGGAGTTAAAAGACCCATTTTGGAAGCCAGACCTGGTGGCCCACACCTGTGATCCCAGTACTCTGGGAGGCAGAAGCAGGTGGATCTCTGTGAGTTCAAGGCCAGCCTGATCTACAAAGTGAGCCCAGGACAGCCAAGGCCACACACACACACACACACACACACACACACACACAGTCTCAAAACAAACAAACAAACAAACAAAAAGACTTATTTTACCCTGTATGGTAGTACAGGACTTTAATTCCAGGACTTGAAACGCAGAAAGGACAGTTCCTGGACAGTTCTTGGAGTTTAAAAAGGGTGGGTACAAACAGAACAAGTTGACACCTTTCCCTGTGACATAATGGATACTGCGAAGGCTATGAGACTGCCTACAACAGGTTAAACATTTCCTTGAAGGTTCTCCACATTAACACAGGCAGGCTTAGTTTCAACATTCAGTGTGAAGCACTGTTCTAGCCCCACACCTCATTGCCCTTCCATCTCACAATAGTCCTATGAGGTGGCATGATCACTTCTTTTTTATGGACAAGAAGCAGGCTTGGAGGAATTAATTTACTGATTCTTAACATGATAACCAAACAGTAAATGATTGTGAGTTGCCAGGATTCAAACCCTGCACATCTCCTAAAGACTATATTTAAATACTGCCAGAACCCAAGATAAGTTATCAATTTTAGAGGTTATGTGGTAAAGACTTCCCTGTCATAATTCATTTGGCAAGCACAATGCTCTTGATACCTAATTAAGAGCTTCACTCAGCTTATCTTGCTAATTCTAGTAATGCCTCTGTGGGATTGTACTATTGTCTCTGTTTTGTGAGGAAACAAGCTTAGAGCCCTAGGATTACTCAGATCACATTGTATGTGTCACTGCCAATAAATCTTATTTGATGTTCACAAAGAAACCCTGTAGACAGCCCTCTGTGTCCACTAGAGATATAACTTTATACAGCACTTTCCAGTTTCTGAAAACTGGCTTTCGGGAAAGATAAATAGCTTTCCATCCAGCATCTGCTGATGAAACAAGGTAATCCAGAAAGGGCCAGTGGGGACTACTTCCTCCTTCAGTCCTGACACCCAGAACCACACTGCAGCTCCTTGCACACTGCTGTACGAGCCTCTACCTTCTCTGTAAAGGGGCCCCTTCCTCTCAGGAAGTCCTCTAAGCACTCCTGGTGATAGTTCTTTCTATCTTCATCTGTAACTTTGTAAAAATGTCTGACTCATGTGTCTCTTTAAAGCAAAGATTGTCTTATGTGTGGGTTTTTTTTTTAATTTTGCTTTTATTTTTAAATTACGTAATATATATATATATCTTTGTGTGGGTATATCCATTCGAATGCAGAGGCTCTTGGAGTCTAGAAGTCCCCTCTCGCTTGCATTTAGGAACCTGTACTCAGCTTTCCACACAAATCCTCGTTAGAATCCTCTTCCTAAATTGTCATCCACATGAGCCTTTCAGAATTTCACAGGGAATGTAATGAATGAACAGCTTGGAAGAACCCAGCTGCCCATTACAAAAATGGCTTCAGTTGCTTCACTTCCTGTATCACGTGACTGTGTTAGTCATCATGTGACTTTGTCCTTTCCTTAAACCGGAATTAACTTGCTTTACAAGTCCAGCTATGATATCTGTCTACATTCCTGTTTATATTTAGTAGCTCTTCTATATTCTCAAGACTCTGGAACTCCCACAATCTTCTCCTCATTCGTTGACCCTGAGGAGCTCAAGTTTTCAAGACCTGAAAAGGTAAGCAGGCGGGATTGCAGTTTGCCTTGTCAACCTTGCGTCTGTAATTCTGTTCATCCAGATTATGGAATTCAGTGAATAGCAGGTTTTTTGTTTTTAAATTCAGGCCATCATGACTCTTTGACTAAGGCACAGTTGGAGGGAGGGCTGAAGGTTGAAATCAATGAGGAAAAGAGTGAAGAGAGCCATTTTGGATAGGGCAGGAAACTCACTAACACAGCGGTTGCGAAGAGGAACACATCCACTGTCTATGGGCATTGTCTGATCACCAGTAAAGGAGGGTGACTATGTTGTGGGCATCCACAGGCAGCTAAACTCTGGCCGGGAGAGTGGTTGCAGGGTAGAGAGGGTCTTACCTGCTAATCATTCTTCATTCTGTTCTCAGGAGAATCTCAAATACTAGGGTGGGGCAGGCATCATGACTGCCAGGCTCATAGGATTCTTTCTACTTCAGGCAGCTTCCTGGGCACATGGTAAGTGAGTGAAGGAGGAAACGGCAGCATGAATTCCTCTGCCCTATTGTCCTTTGGAAGGCTTCCACTGTACTGGTGAACTTTCAGTGGGGCCTCTATAACTCCTTTAGAGTGTCCAAGACAGTTTTTAGCTGGGTGCACAGTGCAGAGATTTAAGAAAAATTGTTTAGTCTCCTTAACCAGCATGCCCACTCCATCTGCCCACTTTGATGCTTGTTTTTTGCTCTGTCCTTCAGGTGCTCAACCCTGCATCCCTAAAAGTTTTGGCTACAGCTCAGTGGTCTGCGTTTGCAATGCAACGTACTGTGACTCTCTTGACCCCCTGACCCTACCTGCTTTGGGTACCTTCAGCCGCTATGAGAGTACTCGAAGTGGACGACGGATGGAACTGAGTGTTGGGTCCATTCAGGCCAATCGCACTGGCACAGGTAGACACTTTATTTCTCACACTAAACCAGCTAGGTCCCCTGGCGCAAGGTCACACCAGTGATCAGTATGTGCTCCTACATACACTGAGTTCTCTGCTTTTCCAATGGTGTCCCCAGGGCTCCTGCTAACCTTGCAGCCAGAAGAGAAGTTCCAGAAGGTGAAGGGATTTGGAGGCGCAATGACAGATGCCACTGCTCTCAACATTCTCGCGCTTTCACTCCCCACCCAGAAGCTGTTGCTGAAATCATACTTCTCCAGTGAAGGTGAGGAAGGGCAGGATCACTTTTTTTATTTTTATTGCATTTTATTATTTTATGTGCTGAGCATGGGCGTGAAGGTCGAAGAACAATTTGCAGGTGTCCATCGTCTCCTCCCACTACCATGGGACTGAATTAGTTCTGCAGGCTTGGCACCAGGCACTCTTACCCTGAACTATCTTGCCAGTCTTTTTACTGGTTTTCATGATTTCCCTGACATTTGCCTCCTTTCTTTTTCTTCTGCTCTCCCCTTCTCTATCCCTCTGTGAGTGGGTCTCTTGTATTCTAGATTCAAATTCACTATGTAGTCAATGATGAAGTTTGAACTTTTTTTTTCCCCCCCGAGAAGGGTTTCTCTGTGTAGCCTTGGCTGTCCTGGACTTGCTTTGTAGACCAGGCTGGCCTCGAACTCACAGATTCACCTGCCTCTGCCTCCCTGAGTGCTGGGATCACAGGTGTGTGCCACCTCACCTTTGAACTTCTGATGACTTTGAACTTCTGATCCTCCTGCCTTCATCTCCTGAGTGCTGGGATTACAGGTGTGTGTCATCACACCCAATTTACACAGTGCTGGAGCTCAAACTCAGGGCTTTATGTATCTGTGGCAAACATCTGTCACCTGAGCTACAGTCCCAGCCTCTCTTTCTTTCCTCTTCTCAGTCCCTTTTGTAGATCCCTTTTGCCTAGAACATGCTATGTAGCCATGACTGGCCTCAAACTCTTAGTCTTCCTGACTCCCAAGTGTTGGGATTACAAGTATATACCACCAAGTGTATCAGGCCATTGGTTCTTGACTCAGTGCCACTGAAATGAGATCGCCTCTTCTTTTTGGTTTTTTGAGACAGGGTTTCTCTGTGTAGCCTTGGCTGTGCTGGGATTACAGGGATGCACCACCATGCCTTTTTGATATTCTGCTAAGGACTTAGAAAACGCATGTTCAGAATGAGCTTGTGTTTCACTTAGATTCTGGTCTTCATAATTCTATGCCCAGACCCTGGCTCTGAATGAGACCCTATTGAAGACTAACAAGTGATTAAAGCCAATTTCTATACTTGCCTTTTAAATTTTGTTTTCGTTTGTTTGCTTGCTTGCTTGTTTTGAGACAGGGTCTTACCTTGGCTGTCTCTGCCTCCAGAGAGATGGGATTACAGGTATGGTGCCACCACACTTGGCTCCATACTGCCCTATTGATTCAGATTTTCCTATGTTGGCCATCCTTTTCTGCAGGAATTGAATATAACATCATCCGGGTACCCATGGCCAGTTGTGACTTCTCCATTCGTGTCTACACCTATGCCGACACCCCTAATGACTTCCAATTATCCAACTTCAGCCTCCCAGAAGAAGACACCAAGCTCAAGGTGGGCATCCTGGCTGATTCAGCCCTATCGGTATTGCTGTCTGGGGCCTGGGAAGGTCCAGGTTGAGCTGTCTGCAGATCATTGTAGAACCTTCTGAAGCCTCTTTGACCTGGGGGCAGGAGGGTGGGGGCTGGTGGTTGGACCTGATGCACTGGTTGAACTAGTTTGTGTTCCAACTCTGGGTGTCTCTCTCTTCACTACATTCATTCATCTCCAGATACCCCTGATTCACCAAGCCCTGAAAATGTCCCCACGCCCCATTTCACTTTTTGCCAGTCCCTGGACATCACCAACTTGGCTCAAGACCAATGGAAAAGTGAATGGGAAAGGATCTCTCAAGGGTCAGCCAGGGGATATCTATCACTGGACCTGGGCCAATTACTTTGTCAAGTAAGGGATCCCTGGGGCCATGGGGTCTGGGCCAATCTCCCTTTGGACACCTTGGTGTATATTCTACCCCTTGACCTGCTCCACTTCTAGATTTGCTTTTCAGCTCATCTTTTGACATGCTGTGCTTTTCAGATTGTCAGTTTTACCTACTCCCCAAGGTCTTGGTCCACTTTCTTGGCTTTGATCACTTATGGTCTTTCTCTATTGCCAGGTTTCTGGATGCTTATGCTAAGTACAAGATAAAATTCTGGGCAGTGACAGTGGAGAATGAACCTTCTGCAGGGCTCATTACTGGGTATCCCTTCCAATGCCTGGGCTTCACTGCTGAACACCAGAGAGACTTCATTGCCCGTGACCTAGGGCCAGCCCTTGCCAACAGTTCTCATGATGTCCAGCTATTCATGCTAGATGATCAGCGTTTGCTATTGCCCCGCTGGGCGCAAGTGGTAAGGCCTAAAACTTTTCGGGGTGTCCCAGTGGACCCAAGTCTTCCATCCAAAATGACTGGCTAAAATTTTAAAATGTCTTCCCTGTGCCTGGGTCATCCTACTGCCTTTTGTGCATGGATTATAGGCATGAGCCACTACCTACCCCTTACTTACTCCTTGCACTTTTTGCTGTTGTTTTTTTGAGACAGGATCTCACTATATACCTCTGGTTGGCTATATAGACTAGCCTGGCCTTGAACTCATAGAGATCTACTTGCCTCTGTCTTCCAAGTGCTGGAATTAAAGAAACATACCATACCTAGCCACTCACTCCTTTTTGTATATGAAGGTAAAGGCGTGAACCTTAAATGACAGTTCATCAAGAGCTGCTGAATTTGGTGTGTTTACTTTGTTTTGGTTTTTGATTCTGAATCTCTGATTAGGCTAGCTTGCTAGCCACTGAGCCCCAGGGGTCCACCTGTCCCCATCTGCCCTGTGCTAGGATATAGTGCTGGAGATCAAATTCAGGTCCTCAACTGCATGGCAAGCACTTTATCAGCTCCAATTCTTGACTCCTAGACACCCTAGGCTGGATCTGATTGCCCAGGGCACTACCCTTTCTGGACTTCAAGGGCCCTATGAATTCTTATTGTTGTCACTTTAACCCCTCTAGTTCTTTCATCCCACCACCCATTTCTCAGGATGGTTGGTTCCTGTCTCACACCCCTCTGTTCAGGGCTTGTGGTCAGTGGGTCCCTTTCCCTGATGCTCCCTTCTTCTCTCTGGGCAGGTACTATCAGACCCGGAGGCAGCTAAATATGTTAATGGCATTGCTGTACACTGGTACTTGGATTTTCTGGCTCCAGCCAAAGCCACTTTAGGGGAAACACACCGCCTATTCCCCAACACAATGCTCTTTGCTTCAGAGGCCTGTGTGGGCTCCAAGTTCTGGGAACAGAGTGTTCGGCTGGGCTCCTGGGATCGAGGGATGCAGTACAGTCACAGCATCATTACGGTGAGCCATGTGTTGCCCTGTCCCAGAGCAGACCATCGAGATCCCCTCTCTAGTCTTAGGCAGCTGGGCCTTCCTTTTCAGATAGCTTGCTAGCTTGCTCTTTGGGGCAACTGAAGGATGCCACATTTACCTTTTCCTTCACATACATGTATACCCCCCATCACTTTTGGGGCCCGGGCAGCCGTATTTGCCTCAAATTTCTCAGCTCCCTAATATGCCTCCATCTTCACAATTCTCATTTCCTTAGACAGACAGAACACTCCTTCAAAGGAGCAAACCACTCCTAGCCCCCATATGTGATCCTTAGCCATCTTCTCTAGGTATACCCATCTTTACCTTTTTACCCTTGCCTCTACTACAGAATCTCCTTTACCACGTAGTTGGATGGACTGACTGGAACCTTGCCCTGAATCCTGAAGGAGGGCCCAACTGGGTCCGAAACTTTGTTGATAGCCCCATTATTGTAGACATCCCCAAAGATACATTTTACAAACAGCCTATGTTCTACCATCTTGGCCACTTCAGGTGAGTAGGGGCTGTGGGGGAGTGGGCATCCCCATTCCATCCCATGCCTATCATCTGTATCAGGCTTACATCATCCTGTACTGTGAAGGAGGTGTTCAGGGTAGGAACCCTGGGAGGGACACACTCCTATTGCACCATGTAGGCAGGAAGTGACTAGGTGGCATCAGAGCCTAGATAATCCCAGGATGACTGAGTCGTGATGCAGGAGGACAGGATCAAGGCCCAGCAGCACAGTTGTTGAGGCTTAAGAGTATTAGTGTTGCCCAGGAAAGCCAAGGCCCTCATGATGCCTGTCTTCACATTCAGCAAGTTCATTCCTGAAGGATCCCAGAGAGTGGGATTGGTAGCCAGTAAGAAGAATGACTTGGAAACAGTGGCACTGATACGCCCTGATGGCTCTGCAGTTGTGGTCGTGTTAAACCGGTAAGCTGGGTACAAGGGCAGGTCTGGGCCTGAGCTATATGGGGTGCTTGGCCTCAGCAGGTTGAGTCTCAGCTTTTCTTCTCTCCAGCTCCTCTAAGGATGTCCCTCTAACCATCAGTGATCCTGACCTGGGCTTCTTGGAGACCATCTCACCTGGCTACTCCATTCACACTTACCTGTGGCGTCGACAGTGACAGAACAGATACCCAAGCAGGCACCTGGGTTTAGCATGGACATTAAAAGGAAAGAGTTAGTTCCTTGCTGTTTGTGACTAAAGAAGGCACAGCAGGGCCTGGGTGACCTTACAGTGACACAGATGGAGGGACAGTGGTTTGGGTGTCTCATTTTTCTTTTTAGTATAATGGTAGGGGAGGGAAGCCCTAGCATCTCCTCAATTCTCCATGCTTGTAAAGTGTGTGCAATGCACAAGCTGTCTGTAGAAACCAGGCCTAGGTCAGGGTGAGTTCACTAAATATAAAGAAAAAGATGGGGATGACTGTGGAAGTTGGACCTATGCAGAGAAGCAATGTCACTCAGTTTAAGGGCTGAAGCAGCTTTAGAACCAAAGAGACAGTGGGTAAGCCTACACCTATGCATTCTCATTGCAGCAGCTAGGGAAATGGCAGCCCCATAAAGGAGAAAATATTTGATCCCAGTTAGTGTAAACAGCTTTATTCTGGGGATAGCACCCCATTTTTGGCTGCTCCAACAATGGGGAGAAAAAGAGGCATGTGGAATGCATGACAGTAGAAAAATGGGTCCTGAGAACATGAACACATCATTCTTCTTCATCCTCCTCAGCCATGCCCAAGGACCGGGTGCCTGAGGCCCGAGTGGGAGTTGCCCGCTGGATAGAGACAATGCCACTGAGCAGGGCATAGCCCACCATGGCTGCCAGCCCTGCCAGCACAGACAGAATCTGGTTCCTGCGCCGGTATGGCTCCTCCTCAGTCTCAGGGCATGCTGGTGTCTGGCATGGAGGTGGTACCTCAGCTAGGGAGCAAGGAAGGAAGGTGGGCAAGGGAGCTAGTCCTTGGATCCAGCCCATTCTCTCCATCCACTCCTTACCTCCATCCCGGGGAAAGTAGAGGCTAAGGATGTGGGTACAGTAGACACAGAGGTTGTGCAGCCCCCGAAGGTGGGCCTGCAGCTTTCCACTGGGCAGCTTTGCCTGCAGCAGCAGGACCAAATGGCTAAAGACAAAGGCGTCCAGAGATGCAGGGCTGGAGAGACAGAGAAGGATGAGATGGAAGTAGACAACTGCACAGAAGGGTCAACATGGAGCAAGAGGAAAAGTCTGCTTTGGTGCGTAGGCTCTGGGCAGCAAAGAGTCACCAAGGGAAGGGCAGGACACCCAGCCCTGGATTTGGTAAGAGGAGTTTTCCCAGGTGGCGCCAGCCTGGCCCTGAATGGAGCTCTAGCCTAGGGCTGCATAAAGGACACATTGAGTGGCCCACAGCCGATCTGCGCCTGGCTGCTCTCCCATCCCACCCTCCTGTACCACCAAGGAGGTTCTAGCCCCACACACAGGATCCTGTCACCAGAGCCAGTGTCCGTCCTAAGAACCTCTTTTTCACACTGCAGCCCAGGCTCTGAACCTGTATCTTCTTCAAACATCCACTTATTCCCCCTTGGAGTCAGACTCACGCATCTCCAAAGAAGAATTTCTGAGAGCCCAGACGTTGGGAGAGAAGGGTTAGGCACTCCCGAGCCTCTTGATATAGCTGTAGAGAGAGACACAAGGCATGTGGCTGTGGGAGCTGGGACACATCCCACTGTGGATACTCATTTGTAGCCATCATCTTTGAGCTTCATCTCCTACATCCCAAAGCTACCTCTTTCTCTAGTTCTTCCTCGCTCTCTGGTTTGTGCTCGCCACACAGCAGTTGCAGACGCTCCATGTACCGGCGCTGCATGCGGCCAGGCAGGAAGAAGTTGAGGGGAAAGGGCATAGCCTCTGCATACCACTTTCGGGTCACTTCCACATAGTTCTTGGCATCTATCCAAAAAGTATGTATCTGGATTGGGCAGACAGAAAAGAGGTCTGAGCCAGGCACCTGCCTATCACAGGATGGGGTTCTAAGTCTCATGCTGCTCTGAGCATGTGTTTGTGTGTCTGACTCCTTTTTTGCAGGCTGTGAATGCTAGGTCTGAATGTACTCACTAGCACAGGTAGCAGTTTCTCCTCCAGCAGAGACATGAAGGCTAGGGTATCTGCTCCTTGCCGAGCTGACAGATCATAATCGGCATTATACTTCTGTGGAAGAAATGTTCATGAGGTAAATATTGAAGGATTGCAGGGGGACTTTCTCAGTAGAAAAAGCATAACAACCCCACACTAGCCTCTGAGCATACTAGAGGTAGAATAGGGAGCCTTTCCTGCTGAGGTCTCCTTGCCTCAGCCCGGCCAGTAGCCTGTTGCTATTGGCAGAAAGCCTGGGCTTTGGAGCCCACTGTCTGTCAAGGTCCTGTGCCTGCTGGGGGAAGGAAAGAAGGCCTGGCCGCAAAGTGGGAGCAGCTCCCAGAGTTTCCACGGAAAGCTGGCAGTGTGCCCACTGACAGCAACATTCTAACAGTAACTTCCTGATCCAGACACCACAGAGCTAGCAAAGCAAAGCTCAACTGCAGGCTGGAGCTCAGCCCATGACTCAGAAATTAGGGGGCACCATCCTTAGCCCCTTGAACCCAGGATATTTACGGCCAGCCACTCCCATCTCCAGCTTGTCTCTCATGGCCGAGCTCTTGGCTAGCTCTTCTGCTTCATTCCAAAGTCTATGTGCCATTACTGCACATATAGCCCATCAGTATTTCCATTTCTTGGTGTGGCCTACCTTTCCAGGCTTCATTCCATCCCTTAGTATCGCCCTGCAAATACTAAGAAATTCTTAAATTTCCCTGAACCTCAGTTTCTCCTTTATGGAAGGAGACAGTAATCTTTTTCCCTTGATGTGGCTAGGTTTGGAAATAATTTAGGACAAAACCCTCTGGAAACTGAAAAGGCTGTGTTTATACACAAGGTATCAAGGCAGTAACCCCAGGTCCTGCCAGGAACTTTGGCTTATCTGGCTCTGTTTTTCTGGGTCTCTACACTTCCATTACTTTTCCAGCTCCCTGGAAAGTAGAAATGAAAAAAGAGGGTCATATTTAGGACTTTTTGTTCCCTCTTGGAACAACACTGTGAATGCCAGATCTCTTCAAGTATGCTTTACAGGTAAAGCGTTTTAGATGGTGAAATGGCTTAGCAGGTCAATGTACTTGCTATCAACCCCGATGACATGAGTTCCATCCCAAGAGCCCCATGGTGGAAGGAGACAACTTACTTCAACAAGTTGTCCTCTGATCTCCCCAAGCAGGCCACAGCATGTATGCATATACACACCCCTCCCCCAACACAATAGAAATACATGTTTAAAAAACAAAAACCAGAGTTTATTGCATTGAGATGTTAAATCACCTGTCCAATATCACAGTCAATGATAGAAGAACAGAGCTAAGGCTTCCAATCTCTTGTAATTCTCTTTTAAACTTCCCAACCTAAGCCTCTACCTCCTGAATGCTGGAATTAAAGGTGTGCTCCAGCACTGCCCTGTGACTTTTTTTGAGAGAAGCTCTTATGTATTCCAGGCTGGCCTCAAACACACTATGTAGTCAAAGGTGATTTTAAATTTCTGATCATCCTGCCTCTCCCAAGTGCTGGGATTATATGCATGCACTATCATGCCCATTCTTTTGAAGTTCCTTTCTAGCGCCCCCGCCAAAGCCAAATGCTGTTTTCTACTCTTTATTTTTTACATTATCAACATATAGATTTCTCTCCCTCCTTGCCCAGCATTCAGAAATCCGTCTGTCTCAACCCCTTAAGTCTGGCCAACTGCTAGTCACTTTATCCCTCCCCATATTATTCTTTGGTGCTCTGGTTCACCCTGTTTTGCTTGGCATGTGTCTGGTGTCAATAAATGTTACATTGGATAGACTGGATTTCCTTCATTGTCAGCCCCCATTCAAGCCACCTACCTCTTTACGAAGATGGGTGATGATCTTGTGTGGTACTGAGATGACCTCTCCATCACTGGTTCGAAGGGCAGGCAGAGTTCCTGGTATTAAGAAAGATCCTAGCTTGCCTATGCATGCTTATTTGCATTACAGTCCCGTCTCCTACTCCTCCCCTTGTATACTCCCTTCCCTACAGGGACACTGTATACCTGTCGGGCTCTGCCAAGGATTGCTGATCTTGTGTACCCTCAGTGGAGCACCTGTAAATCTGGTATAGGTCTGCAGGGAAGCAAGCAGAAGGTAGAGAGGCCAGCGTATGACTTCACAAAGTAGCCAAGAAAATAAATATTTATTCAGTAAATGCAGTGCCATGGTCTATTCTTAGCAATTTTATACCAAGAAGAGAGGCAGAAAGAGGGTGTCATTCCCATTTTCAAATGGGCAAACCTGACTCAGAGAGATTGTGGACATGTTTCACATCCATATCCATGATTACACATCAGAAAATCTTTAAACTTCCCTTCTGCCATCTACATTGTAAACCCTATTCTCAAGAGCTTTTCCTCAATAACTTCCCTGTTCCTGAAAGTACTGACTCACTTTTCGAAGTCTCTGTGTTCTGTTCCTACTTTTACATCATACACCTGGGCATTTTATTATCCGCTTATGTGTTTGCCTTACTTTAAACAATTTCAACGCGGGGGTTAAAATCTTACTGCAATGCAATGTTTAGCTTCTCAAAAAAAGCATACTAAATGCTTCTTATTCCTGAAGAGGTTGAATGAAGCTAAGCAAGTCTGTCTAGTTTCAAAGCTTTTCCTGCTGTCTGATCTACGAAAACTAGACTCCATAAATTCTTAGCGAAAAAGAGAGTGAAGGGGGCTGAGAGGGCACAAATGCCAAGTCTAAATTACTGAAATCGTTCAGAAGGGGTTACCTCAAGGTCACACAGCCAAGAAGTGGATAAGCAAGGTCTAAAACCCATCTTCTGAAACCCTAACCAAACCTACTTCCATTGCTACGTAACTCTATCCTAGGAAATCATAATGTGAGGCACACTGGGCACATCGGCCTTTGATTGCCTCAGTTTCTCTCAATATGCTGGCGTTTAGGCTCCCAGCAAAGTTCGAGCACCCTCCCCGGCCCTCCAAGGCATCGCAAAGGACGCCTGCATCATCCCTCACCAGCACTGCCAGACTATCCAGGTCCACCGACGGCAGTCCCCAACCCCCTGACCAGCAGAATAGCTCCATGGGCGCCGCCATCTTGCACACTCTTTGGCCCGGAAGCACCTTCTCATAAGCGTCCGCCTTGCCCAGCTGGGACCCGCCCCTAATCACTGCCTCTCTGGCCACTGGGGGTTGGGGATCTGGGGAGGCCTTTGGGGAGGAGCCGTTTTTCGCAGCCGGAGAGGTGGCGGGACTGCAGGAGGTGGAGCCTCGGCTTTCTGAGACGCGCGGTCGAGGTCTCCTCTTGAGACTGCCCCCGCAAGGGGGCAGGGATGCGGGCCAGAGGCGCCTCTGCCGAGCGTAGCCACGAACCGCCGAAGACGCGGAGGGCCTGGGAGAGGGGCATCTAGTGCGGCTTGCTGGGCGCTGAGGGCACTTGCCAAACTGCACGTGGGCTCGACAACTCCGGGCCCCCTCAGGTCTCTGTGCCGAGCGGGGGCTGCGGGGGGGTCCCCCGAGCCGCATGTTTTCCAAAGCGCGTTATGTTTGGAGCGGTCCTCGCGCTGCCTGTCGCCATGGAAACAAAACAGGGGCGGTGGCGGCGCCGGAGCTGAGGCCCGGCTGGGGCCTGCGTGGGGGAAGGGGAGGTGGGGCTCTCGGGCTCTTGCCTTCGTCAGGGAACTCCTGGTTTGTCCCTGGTCCCCTCGGGTTCGTCCCGGACAAGGCCTTCCCGCGGTACCCAGTGTTCACCAGTCTCATCCTCGCCCCTGCCTCTAATTTTCTGCTCCAGTACGTTTCCCCTTTTTTGATTTCTTCATTTCGACCTGACTGACCAGTTGCCGTAGGACGCTTCCAGACTTGTGTTTTTCCCAAGAATGAGGGGAAATGGAGGAATTGGAAATGGACACATTTCAGGGACTCAACACCGTAATAAAACCATTTGCTATGCCACAGCAATAAGCCTAATGTCGTGGGCATCCTCTAGGAACTGTAGCAAGCTGGTTTTTGGGCAAGTCCTTTGCTACCCTTTTCCGCCAACCGTGAAATAATGCCTAAAGGCACGGATTTCTGTCTTTTTTCAACCGCGGCTTCCAGAGAACAGTAGCATTTGGTAGCGCTGTCAGTAGAAGGCCCCCAAGAACCAGATGCCAGGGCAGAGAGAGGACCATTATGGAGGAGCAGGAGGCAAGGAAAGCTGTAGGACTCTTTCCCAGTGGCCCTGGTTCTGGAGCTGGTGATGCCTCCAAGGTGATTGGCAGTTCTTTGTTTCACCCCCCCCCCCCCCCCCCCCCTCCCCCCCCCCCCCCCCCCCCCCCCCAGCTCTCTTCTCAGTCCCTCCGCCCCTCCCGCTCCTGCTCTCCGCCTAGTCTTTTTCCCTCCCAGTCGCCTGCCTGCCAGGGGTAGTGAACCGGCTAAGCGGCATGGAGAAGCCGGAACTTTGGGGGGCCCTGGCTCTTCTCCTCCTTTGCTCTTATACATGTGCCAGTCAGGACCTTCAGGGTAAGCCTGCATCCATCCTCCTTGACACCTCTTTGTCTCCTTTCTTTGCCCCCAGACAAGTAACAGACCACTTGTGGGTTTGAGGAGAGGGAAGAGTCCTGAAATTGGGGTGGAGAGAAAAGTTACACTCCAGTGAAGAGTTGGTGATAATGTGGGAGGAGTGGGCACCAGAGTGGTAGGTGAGTGCAAAGTGGCCCAGTGTCAGGCATGGGGACCATGACGGACGAGGAGCTGGATGCCAAGACCGAATGACTGAGTTTGTGTCAGTGCATCAACAGGACAGTTTGGGAAAGCAGCCTGATTGATGGTGGTTGCACAGTGCGAGACCCTGGGCTTAGTCCCCCTTTTACTCTGGCTCTTGGCTACTAAAAGATAGGATGGGGGTGGGGATTGGGCGGCTTGAGCTCTTCCGGAGATCTGGTGGTGGGATGGGCCCATGGGTGGTGTAGGAGAGGTAGCTGGAGCAGATGACACAAGCAAAGATTCTTTACTGGCTGGCGGGAAACCACAGATTGGCCAGGACACAGGAGGCAGAAGAGGCGTTGGGTCCTACATTCCCAATTTGGAGAGGCTAAACAGTGGTGGGAGGCTCGGAGCCCTTGGTGGGCAGCTGTTCTTATCTAGCCGTGTGTGATGAGCCCCTAGGATGGGAGGAATGGCTTTTTGGTTTGAAGGGAGATAAACCCAGCAGTAGAGAAGCTACCTCTGGTTTCTGAGCTGTGGGCACCAGGTGCCACTACAGTCTTTAGTCAGCAGTGTCTCCTTTGCGCCACCTGGTGGGATATCTAAGTGGGCTCTAAGCCGATAGGTTCCCAAGGCCAACGCAGAAGCCACAGAAGGCGCTGGGAGGGAACAATTACCTCTGTTCCCCATTAATGAAAAGGGCTGAGGTTGTTTTTATAGATGGGGTCTTGTAGCCTATTCTTTGTAGCCGAGGCTGGCCACTTGCTTGAGGCAATTCTCTTGGCCTGAGATTACAGGCATATACCACCATTCCCAGCAAGTCTGAGTTTTGGAGGCGATTTATGCTATCCAGAGGTGGGTGGAGGATAATTAAGGATGCCTCACCTCCGAGAGTTCAGGAGGGAGGGCAGGCTTCAACACCAACCCCTTTCTCTGACTTTGATAATCCCTACCTGGCCAGTAATTGACCTGCTGACTGTGGGCGAGTCCAGACAGATGTTAGCTGTGGCAGAGAAGATCCGGACAGCTTTACTTACTGCTGGGGACATCTACCTCTTGTCCACTTTCCGCCTCCCTCCAAAGCAAGGTGGTGTCCTTTTTGGCCTCTACTCCCGCCAAGACAACACAAGATGGCTGGAGGCCTCTGTTGTGGGCAAGATCAACAAAGGTGACTTGGTGGGCTTCTCCCTTCCTGCATCAATGACTCCTTGAGCAGCCCCACTCCCAGGCCCCTCTTTGTTCTCCTTATCCTCTACTAGGGACACCTGGTATGGAAGTACTCAAACAGTTGGGTAAGGCCTGGTATTTATAGGGACAGATGGTAGGTTATATGTTGGGATGCTTAGAGGGAGAATGAGGCATCTCTGTCTCAGCAATGATAGAGCCACTCAGATCTCTGGTAAAGTTCAGTGTGTAGACCTAGCTGTTACATTGGGAGAGGATAGTTATCTAAGGCATTGAGAACTAATAAGGTCTTCATCTTAGGATAATTTGAAAAACATTTATTTATTCATTTTCGAGACAGCCCTGGCTGTTCTGGAACTCCCTTGGTAGACCAGACTGGCCTTGAACTCAGAGATCGCCTGCCTCTGCTTCCCAAGCATTGGGATTAAAGTTGTGTGCCACCCACCTGGCTGAAAAACCAAGGTGCTGAGAGATACATATACAAATTGGGAATTATCTTAAGAGATGTAGCACTGCCATGCAGTGGTGGAGCATGCCTTTAATCCCAGCACTCAGGAGGCAGAGGCAGGCGGATCTCTGTGAAGCCAGCCTGGTCTACAGAGTGAGTTCCAGGATGGCCAAGGCTACAAAGAAAAACCTTGTCTCAAAACAAACAAACAAAAAAACAAAAACAAAGAGAGGAGCCAGGCATGGTGGCACATGCCTTTAATGCTAGCACTCAGGAGGCAGAGGCAGGCGGATTGCTGTGAGTTCGAGGCCAGCCCTCGTTTTCAAAGAGCGCCCAGGACAGCCAGGGCTGCACACAGAGAAACCCTGTTTCGAAGAAAAAAACAAAAAAACAAAAAACGAGAGTAACTGACAGCCAGGGGGTGGGGAAAGTGGTGTCTAGAAGAGATGATCCAAGTTAGTTGGAACGTGGGATGGCGGCTAGTGCCCGTACACTGACCTCCAATCCTGGGCAGTGCTGGTGCGGTACCAGCGGGAAGATGGCAAAGTCCACGCAGTGAACCTACAGCAAGCAGGCCTTGCTGATGGGCGTACACACACAGCTCTCCTGAGGCTCCGAGGACCGTCTCGACCCAGCCCTGGCTTGCAGCTGTATGTGGACTGTAAACTGGGTGACCAACATGCTGGCCTTCCAGCACTGGCGCCCATTCCTCCAGCGGAGGTCAGTGGCTTGGAGATCAGAACTGGACAGAAGGCTTATCTGAGGCTACAGGTGAGAGGAAGGATCCTCTGGTTTGGGAGAAATGGTTTGTAGCACCTAGAGGAGCTAACTGATACTCCTACTCCACTTGCTGGCTCCTAGGGTTTTGTGGAATCGATGAAAATTATTCTGGGTGGTTCCATGGCCCGGGTAGGAGCCCTGAGTGAATGTCCATTCCAAGGAGATGACTCCATTCACAGTGCAGGTAATAGATCCCATCCTTTTGACTTCCCTCCCACTCAATGCCCATTCCCTTAGCTTGCCCATTCCTGAGGCTTTCAGGAGGTATGTACCAGAAAAAAAAAAAAAAAATCACCTTGTGGGACTGTAACTCTGAGGACTGTAACTCTAGGGGGTGAAGAAGTAAGGTAATGGCTGAGTTGCTAGTCTCAAGGTTTTTTAGTTCCTCTTGGCAGCTGTCACTTCCAGCCAAGACCTCTCACTCTGGCCTCTGACAAGGATGCTCAGAGGCTCTTACCTAAGCAAACACCCACTTCTCCCAGAGACTTCAAAGGGCTCTTGAAGTGGCAGCTTGAGAAAGGGTTTGAAATGGAATGTACTAGGGTCGCAGCCCTGCTTTGGATGGCCTCTCAGTTGGAGTCCTCCGACTACCCCTGGGAACCAAGATTTTTTTTTTTTTTTTTTTTTTTTTACTTTCTCTGAGGCAATGCCCAGAGGGCCTTAGCTCTATGGAATGGGATGCTTCTGAGTGTGGGGTTGTGGAAAGAGCGCTTGCCTACCAAGCATGAGATGGTGTAGTGTATCACCTCTGCCCTGCTTCTCTGCAACACTTCATCTTTCTTGAGGTGCCAGTCATGTCCCCACTCCAGACCCATTTTCTTCCCCCACCTCAGAAGCCCACCCCCCTGACTGCTATCACTTCTTCCTCTAGTGACCAGTGCACTGCAATCCATTTTAGGTGAGTTGACTGTGAAGAGGTGGTTGAGGGGGGTACTCCTCTGTCATGGGTGGGGTTTAAAAGTGTGCTAGGGGCTGGAGAGACGGCTCAGCAGTTAAGAGCACTGTCTGCTCTTCCAGAGGTCCTGAGTTCAACTCCCAGCAACCACATGGTGGCTGAAAAACACCTATAATAGGATCTGATGCTCTCTCCTGTCATGCAGGCATACATGCAGATAAAGTGCTCATACGTATAAATCAATCAGTCTTTGGGGGATGGAGAGATGGCTCAGTGGTTAAGAGCGCTGTCTGTTCTTCCACTCGACCCGGGCTCAACTCCCAGCACCCACATGGCAGCTCACAACTATCCATAAGCAGTCCAGGTGGTCTGACACCCTGACACCAATGCACATAAAATAAAATAATTTTTAAAAAAGTGTGATATGGACTTTGGGGGCAAGAGCTGATTTACAGTCCACAGAGGGCTTAGAGTAGCTTCTTGGTTCTAAGTATCTCCATACGCTGGACCTAAACAGGGGAGCAGACGAAGGCACTGGTCACCCAGCTC